GATAAGTGTGCTCTGCCTCTAAGAACGTTCCACCACATGCTTCAAGCAGGAATCTCCCTCTGCCTGTTCTGGTTGTCTTCTGGCTCTGACTGTAGCTAAAAAAAATCCCTTTATGTTGTCCAGCTGACCCAGGCCTGTTGCCTCCCCACCCAGAGCTCTGCCTACTGAACAAATTGCCTCCCTCGTCAACTATTACTCAAGGCTCAAAGCCAAGATGGAGATCAGCCAGGAAGAAACAAAACTAGCCTTTTATCCCAGCCAGGACAATTCACGAAGACCTCTCAAGGGCTTGAAGGAAAGGGGAATTCATGGTTCTGGCAGGAGTGAGCTTGGCATATGCTGACGCTGGCAAACACCACAACACTTTTACTGGGAAGACACAAAGCAGACTGCTCTACCAAATAATGGGCTCTAAGCAGCTCAGGTTTCACTGTGAGTCAAGGGCCCCCTTGGAAGGACAGGCCCACCCTATGTGTCATCAGCCCTCCCCAGTGCCCTTTGCACTGCCCCCAACACCCTGCCTTTCCTTTTGGCCGGATATGCAATCTCATCCCACAGGAGGGTCACCCTGCCTTAGCACAGCTCCCATTTCCTGCCCATGGTGACTCCTCTGAAGTCTATTGTTCCTATGAAGTTTGGGTCAAAGGAAGCTGGGTCCCCACCCATAGGGGCCCGCCTACCCTCAGCACTGATGGAGCTGGCCCACACTACAGGGAGCTGGGCCCACCCTCCTGCCTTTCCAGGGGCCTGCTTGTATTAAAGGCAGGAGGCTGTGGGCTTCCATCTCAGGGACTGGAGCTCCAGTGGAAATGTTCCCAAGCAAAGATCCAATCGCTACCAGCTGAAGGCCGCAGGATCCTATCACCCAGGAGGTGATCAGAATCTCCCTAATATCTAAATGGAAAAACCAAAGCAAGGGAAGAACTGTTGTTTCAGAAGAGGTCAAGGCAAAGCTGGAATTAGAACACAGAGTTGGAGACCGCACTGCCCAGTGACAAAGCCCTGCCCCCACCTCCACCTGGGCCCCTGCACTGGTTAAAGCCCCAGAGGAAGGGGGGGGGGCATGGGAGAGCAGCTGTTCAGCTCCAATTTCAGAGCTTTAAAGGGAGCTGTCGTCCAAACCCCTGCCAACAAAGGGTCATGGGGGGCAAAGAAAGACAGGCAAGGTAAAGCCACCCTTGCAAGCCCTGAATTTCCCGCTCCCCTCAGACTGACCTCAACTATAGGAAAGGCCACGGAGCAAAGCTAGTGACCCATGTCCTCCACTTGCACCAAGGAGGAGGAGAGGAGCCACTGATGAGGCAACAAGTATTGCTCTAGGAGGGTCACCAGTGCAAGACTCCAGAGTAGAGAAGCCAAGGGATGTTGCGACATTTGCATCCCAAGAGATTGAGAAAGATAGGGAGACCCTTCTCCACCTGACTGAGTAATGTACAAACCGGTGAGGAAAAAGGAGGTGCATTTAAAGACCCCTTGAGGGCCCCCTCCAAAGTTGGCATTCTCTGACTACAGCTCTGAGCTCTCTGCTTGTACGGAAGGGAATATTACTACCTCCTATCCAAGACTCAAGATGGGAGATGTGACCAAGCCAGACTGTTCCAGCCTCCACACTTGTCCGATGAGGGTTGCTAGGGGGTCCAAGCATCGGGACCCACAGAGGAGGAGATAGAATGCGAAGTGAGAACGGAGTGGACTCAGTTCTGAGTCACTGCAATTATGCGATCTTAACGCAAGTTACTGTCTCACTAGGGGCTCAGTTTCCCCGTCTTTAAAATGAGGGCATTAGGGACGCCTGGGTGGCTCAGTGGTGAGCATCTGCCTTTGGCTCGGGGCATGATCCTGGGGTCGGGATCGAGTCCCATATCGGGCTCCTTCCTGGGAGCCTGCTTCTCCCTCTGCCTGGGTCTCTGCCTCTCTCTCTGTGCCCACCATGAATAAATAAATAAAATATTTAAAAATAAATAAAATTAGGGAGTTAGGGGTGCCTGGGTGGCTCAGTCTGTGAACTGTCTGCCTTTGGCTCAGGCTTAGGTCATGATCTTGGGGTCCTGGGATGGACCCCACATCGGGCTCCCTGCTCAGTGGGGAGTCTCCTTTTCTCTCTCCCTCTGTTCCTCCCCCTGCTCACGCTGTTTTTCAAATAAATAAATAAGATCTTGAATGAATGAATGAATGAATGAATGAACAAAATGAGTTAGATGCTAACATCAGTGTGTCCAATGACATTCAGCAGGTTCATCCTGGCATGACAAAACTGCTATCAGAGGAAAGGACTTGTGGACCCTGTGCTCCCCAGACAGAGCCTTGCTCCCACCTCCAAATGGGCCACTACCTATCGTGTGTCTAAGGATGAAGATCATACAGGTCTCGGCCTATGACAAATACTCATTTCATGTTTGTTAAGTAAACACAAATGACAAATGAACAGGGTTTGTCAAAGGATGTTCAGAGAAGTTCTTAGGAAAAAAGAAGCCCTTTCTGAAATAAACTGAGGAAACGCTGGCTGCTGAGTCTGGAATGGGCCATGCACTGTGCTAGGCACTTGGCAAACACTGAATTTTCACAACAAACATTCTGGATAGATATTAACTACCCCCTCCCATATTACTCATCAGGAAACTAAGCCTGAATGCCTGCCTTAACAGTCCTAAGTGACTGCAAGGATTTGTGAGGCGGTATGTCTGGCCCCAAATCTGCACTTGTCTATTCCATCAATGCTGCCTTTAGACCCAAAGCCCTCAAAGCCCCAGCCACACACCTGGTCCCAACAGGTGAGAAGGTGAGGTGGCTCCCACCAAAACATCTGCACCCTCAGGGTGCACAGAGGAGCAGTTCCCAGTCTGTATCCCTGTGGGTGTCTTTTTTTTTTCTTTTTTTATGATAGTCACAGAGAGAGAGAGAGAGAGGCAGAGACATAGGCAGAGGGAGAAGCAGGCTCCATGCACCGGGAGCCCAACGAGGGATAGATCCCAGGTCTCCAGGATCACACCCTGGGCTTCAAAGGCAGGTGCTAAACCGCTGCACCACCCGGGGATCCCTCCTGTGAGTGTCTTGTTCCTTTCTTCCAAGAAGTCCTCAACATTATGCTCCCATTAGCTTGTGCTTGTTGTGGGAATGAGGAAAGCAGTGCCAGCTGTGCCTGTGCCCCTTACCAACACCAGCACAGGCTGTCACTTCTGCCAACCTCCTGGACAGTCATGGCTCCCTCCTTACGCAGTTCCTGCCTCAAAAATATTTCATATGGTAAAACCCAAAAGAAAGAAAGAGAGAAATGGGGAAACTGAGACATGCAGGAGGGTCTTCCCACAGGTCAACTAGCAAATCAGAGGCAGCCCTGCTCCCCCAACCCCAGCTGGCACTAAAGCATGCACCCAGCTGCTCCTCCTCCTTCCCACAGCAAAGTGTAGAGTGATCTAGCAAATCGTAGAGAATTAGGAGTCTTCCATTTGATTGCTGGGTAGGTAGCGCCAAGGAAAGCTGGACCAGCAGAAGGTAGTCCAGGCTGGTATACATCCATTCTCTTTGTTCTTGGGGCCAACGAGAAAAGCACTGGTTACACACCTCTCAAGATTCAAAACTGCCTGGAAAACATCCCCAGTCCTCACTATCAACAACCCGTCCCACCACCGCGAGACAAAGATCTCCGCTTCCTTTGGCCCTTCTACCAGCGCGCTCTCTTAGAGCGTTTCAGGCGAGAACGGGACCCACTCTCCCTCAGAAAGAAAGACCGCTGCCTGGGAGGGGCAGGGGCGGACACCGGGGCCGCACACCCCAACAGCCACAGTCCAATTACTCCTGCACGCATCCAGCCAGGGACACGGTCCCTTGCCCACCGTCAGGCGGGGGGGGGGGGCGGTCATGCCCAGGACCTAGTACCTCACAGAGATGCACGCGCGGAGCCGCGGCATCGCACAAGAACTCAGAGACACTCAGACTTTCGGAGAGACTGTTCTCGACGGGAAGCGCACTCTCGCTCCACACAAACAGGCACGCCTCCTGGCAGCCACGGTGAGTCACAGTGAACCGACAGCATCCTCACCTACACCCGAAGCCAGGGAGACGGGACCGTCGGGCGGTCACAGGAACTCCGCAGCCCGCCACCGCGTGTGACCGAATCCCCTTAAGGCACCCGAGCAGGGAGCCTGTGTCCCTCGGAACCGTGCGCTGGGGTCCGGGAGCGCTCCCCCGGGGCCGGTCCCCGCCGCGCAGGGCGGCGGCTTCTCCAGCCCCGGGGAGCGCGGCCCCGGGCGGGGGGCTCCTGCGCTCGCGCGCAGCCCGGCGCGTTCCGCGGCCCGTCCACCAGCGCCACGGCCCGCGCTTCCAGGCCGGCAAGGGGCCCGGCAGAGAAAAGGCTGGTCTCCGGGACCCCGCTTCGCGCCCACCCGCCGCCCGGCGTCCGCGCCGCCTCCCGAGCCGGGGCCTCCGGGCGCCCCGTCCGCCGCCGGCCCCCGCAGGTGCCCCAGTCCCCGCGCCGCAGCCTTACCGGTCCCAGGGTGCGGGCGGGCGCGCTCTGCCGGCTCCAGGGGTCCGCTGGGCGCCCGGCGGGACCACGGGGGCCGCGCAGGGAGCAGGGCGGCGGCGGCCGGAGCCCACCCCGCGCCGACCCGCACCCGCCTCGCCGCCGCGGGGGCTGGCGCGCCGGGCAGAGCCGGGCAGGGCCGGGCAGGGCCGGGCAGGGCCGAGCGGAGCGGAGCGGAGCGGAGCCGAGCGGAGCCGAGCGGAGCGGAGCGCGCCGAGGGAGGAGTTTTCCCAGAATGGGACTGACGGGAAAGCACGGGAGCTCCCTATTCCTGGAGGAGTGAGTCAACGGGAGAGAGGAAGGGAGCTCGGGGCCGGCGGCGGAAGGGAGGCGGCGGGGGCGCGGGCCGGCCGGAGAAGTCCGCGGCGGGAAGGCCGAGCGGCGGCGCACGCGGGCGAGGAGCCGGCGGGACGCGTGCGGGGCGGGGGGCGCGCGGCGGGGCGGGGGCGGGGCGGGGCGCGGCGGGGCGGGCGCCACTTACTTGGGGGACGCAGCCGCGGGCGGCGGGAGCCGGGAGCCTGGATCCGGGAGCTCGGGCCCTGCCCGCCCCCTGGCCTGGAGTTTGCAAGGAGGAAGCCTGGAATGTGCGGAATGAGGACTGGTATGAGATGCGCGCAGCTGAGGGAGGGAGGGAGGGAGGGAGGGAGGGAGGGAGGGAGGGAGAGGGGCAGGGAGCGGCGGCCCTGCCCCTGGCCCCTCGGGGAGGAGACTGGGCGGAGGGGGGGAGGGGGCGGCCGGGCGGGGCGGGGCTCGCGGGGGGCGGGGGCGGGGCTCGCGGGGCGGACCCCCCCCCGCCCCCCCCCCCGGCTCCTCCGCGGCCTCCCCGCGCGCTCTCCCTGCGCTCTCGGGCCCGCGCTCTCTTCCTGCTCCCCGAGCCCTCCGCCCCCCGCTCCTGCCTCTCCCGCCTCTCGCGGCCGAGGCTCCGACTGTGTGCCCCAGGAGCCCAACGCCTCCCTCATGACCGGGGGTGGGGGTCCCTGGGGGCCCTGGCACCCTCGGCGTCTCCGCTGCCGGCCGGCGCCCCTCGCACGAGTCCCCGGGAGGCAGGGGAAGGGCGGGCGCCCGGCGCGCAGGAAGGGCTGCTCCCGCTCCCTACCCGCGGCTCCCACCGGGGACACCCGCTCGGGCAGCCAGGAAGCAGGAACCAGGTCCGCCGCCAGGGCCCCCACGCGTGCGCCCCCCCGGCCCTGGCTGCGCGTCGTGGTCGTCTGTCCTGAGATCTGTCCCTTCCAAGAATGTAAAGCACACGGGAGACTCGCCTCCATTGAAGTCCATGTGGCTCAGGGAGACACCTTGAGAGCTCAGGAACTCGAGGAGTATTTATCCCGGCCTGTGCCGTGTCCCCCAGATGCTGTGAAAACAAAAATGAAAATAAGATCCGGCACCTGCCCAGCTAAAGAGCTTCGCTTTAGCTGGCCAGACTCCGTTTGTAGAAGATCATCGACACGGGAGTGGGAGTCCGGGTTTGAGAGGAACATGAACCTGCGGGAGAGTTTAGCCTCTTGTTCCCGGGGCGAGCTGTGCTGGAAACGCTGGAAGTGTGGAGAGTACGTTGGCTTAAAGCAGCGTGTTACCACATACCCCTCTCACCTTGTCGGTAGGCTGAAACCAAAGGACTTTTGGCTTTTTCCAAAAATCAGATCCAACCTCCAGAAAGCGTTATCACTTCACCTTGTATTGCAGTGGTTGGCCACATCTTATCTCCTTTACCAAACAGAAACTCCTTTGAAGACAGAATAAACGTCTGATATATCTTATCTTTCACCCAGCACCAGCTTGGTGCCTGGGATGGATGAGCACATAATAAATATTGAATAAATGGAAACAAAAAAAGCTACCACAGAGATTGAAAGGAAAGTGCTACAAATGCCAAAGTTGTCTCCAAAAGAGGTGCTCAAAGGTGTTTTGAGCAACGACAGCATCACTGGACGAAGTATCCAGTCTCATAAGGTGAAGACCTTGAAGGAAGCAGCTCTTATTTGGTTACATAAATTCTGGTACGCTCATTAAATAATGAGTCACATCGGGGCTTGGTCACACCTCATATACATGAAAAGACTGCAAGACAGTACATAGGTACCAAAGGAAGTACAAACTGTAAACACTGGCTTATCTAATGCAAGAATTATTTGTTGAATGTCTGTTGACCTTGAGCACCATGGTAAGTACAGGGATAGGTACCATCAAGAAGTTCACAGTCTAGGTGGGAAGACACTTATACAGAGCTCAAAGGGAACCCAAGGGATGGAACAATGAATTCCAAATTACAGAGGCCACATTCGCTCCAGCTCCTGAAGGATAAATGACAACTTACCAACTTGGGTTGGAAGACCCACAAAGATACAGTAACATGTACACACAGGATGTTTAGGAAAAGTCTTGTAAACTGGCATGCTGGAAGAATAGATTACAATAAGTGGGTGCCAGGTTGTGAAGATCATTGTATCCCATGCTGAAGAGTTTGGGGCATCAGAAAGGCCATTTTGATGCAGGTGTGACATCAGTACCACTATTACAAAGACCTCTCTGGCAATAGGGTCAGGCTGGATTGGAGAGTCAGGGTGCCCTAAGCTCAGGCCATGCTCCTAAGCTTGGTGATGAGGGGAAGAGTCTCAGAAAAAGTCCACAGGCAAAATCAACAAGAATTGGTAACTAGGCTGGCTGTGAGGGTGAGAGAGGAAACAAAACTCACTAAGCTTGGACAGCTGAACAATTGGTGGTACCATTCACTGAGATAAGAATTCAAACACAAGGAGAAATAGGTTAGCTGGGAACTGAGTCCAGCCAAGGTTCAGAGGGTTTAGAGGAAGGCAGGACAGAATCCAGAGTGGAGAGGATAAAACAACCTTGGAGCACCACATCCAGCCCAGATGGCTGAGAGAGAATTCGGAGGTGAGGCTGGCCTCTTCCTTCCAAATCTTAACTATCCGAGACCCTAAATGATCCAGGTTGGAATAACGTGCCTTCGAGAGTTCAGCCTCCTGGTCTACACTCTTAACAGGCTTCTAGAAAGCTCTGGGTCTCCAGGAATATCACTTCCCATGCTGTCATGGCCCCTCTGGCTAAAGTTCTCAGACATGGAAATTCTGAAGGTTCAAGACTGACAGTGATTTTACACACATGCCCCACCCCATCAGGGGTAATACATTCCTTGCCCTCTTTCACTGACCCTGATGAAGCAAGTATTGCATCTGTCCTAATCAAACTAGAAGAGATGCATATGGCTCCCCACAAATGACACCACATAATTCACAGCTCACCTCAGTTCTTAGTGAACCAGACCACTCTACCTGGTTCTACAGCTGGATCTCACCCAGGCTTCATGTTGAGTGGTGCAGAAGGAGGAGAGCAGGGGTGTGGTCAGAGCCAGGTTTCATGTGGGGAAGGTGTTTGTGTTGTTCTATACTCCAAAATTATAGTAAAAAATTATATTAATTACTTTTATCACATGTGGCTTGGTATTATTTCCACTCCTTTGAAAAATTTTGTTTTTCCAACCCACATGGTCACTGTTAAGCAAATTATGTGTTAAACAAATACAACTACATCTATATGATGGAATTCTTTTCAGTGATTAATAACAAAATTTTCAAAAATAAACCAAACAAACATTGTCTGGCTTATTATGATATAATAAGTGGAAATACAGATTCCAAGAGCAGTATATGTGGGATGATCCTGTTTTTGAAAAATAAATTGAAAAGTATTTTAGAGTGACTATCTCTGACAAGTTGAAGATTTAAAATTTTAAAAATTTTTCTCATTTTCATTTTTTTAAAGGATCTTATTTATTTATGTATGAGAGAGAAAGAAAGCATGTGCAAGAAGGGGGAAGAGTAGAAGGGGAGGGAGAGGGAAAGAGAATCTCAAGCAGACTCCCCACTGAGCAAGGACCCAGACTCAGGGCTTGATCTCAGGACTCTGCGATAATGACCTGAGCCGGAAACCAAGAGTCAGATGCTCAACTAACTGAGCCATCCACCCAGGTCCCTTTTTGTTTTCATTCTTTTTTTTTTTTTTTTTGAAGTAGAGTTGACACACAATGTTACATTAGTTTCAGGTGTTATTCTTTATTTTCCTGCATTTTATTCTTCTTTCTGTATACAAAAGACTCATACTTTTATATTAGGGGAGAAAAGTGTGACTAGAGCTGTATATCTAACCCTTTCCTAATTTCTCCACATCTTTTTTTTTTTTTAAGAAGCCACCCACCAGTGGATTTAATGGCTTAATAAGAAGTTGACAAGGAGAAGATCCCTCCCTAGCTGCTAGGTAAAAGGCCTCTATACTGCTTTTCAGATATCTCCAAAGCATGCTGCCCTTCCACTATTACGTGGCTGACTCCTCCTGTGATTGTGATCCCCTGGGACCCAGGTTCCTTTCCTCTTTAACCTCTCCGTACTAGATTTCTATTTGCTTCCCCTTAAGAAGACTTCTCAGTATCAACTGAGCTGCATCTTGGCTTTGAAGAACAAAGCAGACCTTTATCAAAGGTGTTTGGAGTCCTTCTTTCTCTATAGAATAAAAGCAGCTTGTAATTTGTTAAGTATATTAGTGCTGTTGTCTCTCCATCAAAGAGAAATGTGAAAGAGAATGAATTCTCTGTCTGTCTAGGGAACAGTAGATGCTGTTCTGAAGATGCTGGACTGAAGTGTGTCTCCCCCAAATTCACATGTTGAAGTCCTAATCCCCAGTACCTCAGAGTGTGAGTAGATTTGGAGATAATGTCTTTAAAGATGTGATTAACTTAAAAAGAGGTCTTTAGGGTGGGCCCTAATCTCCAACTGGTGCCCGTATAGAGAGATGAGGAAGGACACAGACCCCACACAGAGGAGGATCACAGTGCAGACACAAGAAAGTAGCCATCTGCAAGCCATCTGAGGCCTCAGGAGAAACCAAACATGCCAACCCCTTGATCTTTGTCTTCCAACCCATAGAACCATGAGGAGTCAATTTCTGGTAAAGCCACGCAGCCTGTGGTATTTTGCTGTGGCAACCCTGGCAAACTCCTATGGCACATTTACAGACCCAAACACACTGTTGCTTTCCAGAGGCCAGAGGTTGGGGCCTTCCCCACCCAGTTCTCATGTGAGAGTTTCTCAGGTCCCCAGGGGATCTTTAGGATCAGATAGCCAAGACTTGCAGGAAAAAAACAAAAAAATCAAAAGGAAGGAAAAGCTTTCTCCAGCCTTATTCAGCTACAGTTTTCATTTATAATGGCTATCCATTCAATATTTTGAAAGTTAACGCAGGTCCTGCATTATGACCTTATCTAAATAACCCAGGTTCAAATAACAGATCAGGCACATGCTGGTTGTGACCTTGGGCACACTTAGGCCATGAGTCCGGTGTCCTCATCACTCAGTTTTCCACTCCACATTTATTGAACACAGATTATGTCCTTGGCACTGTGCTGGGAAAGCACCAAGGATAAACAGAAAGATCACCATCCCTGCCTCTCAAGCTACTAACAGTCTATCGAGGGAGCTAGAGCAATGCCCACATGAAGCGTCCTTCCTCTGCACCGTCCAGTGTGGCAGGCACGACTCACATGTGGTTCCTGAGAACTTGAAATGTAGTTAGTCTGACTAAAGAACGGAGTTCTATTTTGATTAATTTAAATGTAAAGAACTGCACACAACTAGTGGCCATGGCGTGGACAGCACAGCCATGGACCATCCTCAAGGAGATCTCCACAGGCAGTCAGAGAACCCTTGCAGAGCTAAGGGGAGGACTCAGGGCTGTGGGAGCATCATGTGTAAAAGTGTCACGGTGGTGGTAGTTACTGAGTATGAAGAGTGAAAAAGGAAAGGATTAAAATAGGTAACACGGGGCCCTGTAATACTGCATATATTCAAAACACGATAGGATTTCTTCCTCCCCACCCCCCACCCCCCCGCCCCCGCTCCTCCTCTGATAAAAATTTCTTAATGTGCCGATTGTCCATACATAGAGGATTATTTAAAAACACTGGTACCTCCCCCAGTGAAATACTGTGGAGCATACACAAGGATAAAAAAGGCCTGCATTTACTGACAGGGGATTATCTCCAGGGTACAATAAGTGAAAACAGCAAGCTATTGAGCTGACTATATAGTCTGCTATATGTATTTTCCGCACAGAGTTTGGGGAATTATAGATGCATTTCTTTCGGCAGAGTGAAGTACCAGAAAGATACACTAGAAACTAAAAAGAGTTTACTACAGGAGGAGGACAGGGCAAGGGAAAAAGAAGGGAACAGACATGGGAAGAGACTTTCACTATAGTTTTCAAGGTTGCTTTTAGACCATGTGAAATCATTATATTTAAAATTCGTATCTCAGGATGCCTGGGTGGCTCAGTGGTTGAGCATCTGCCTTTGGCTCAGGGCATGATCCTGGAGTCCCAGGATCGAGTCCCGCATTGGGCTCCCTGCATAGAGCCTGCTTCTTCCTCTGCCTGGGTCTCTGCCTCTCTCTCTCTCCCCCTGTGCTTCTCACAAATAAATAAATACATACATACATAAATACATAAATAAATAAATAAATCTTTAAAAATAAAATTCGTATCTCTATCTGATAGAGAACAGCATGAAATTGAAGACAAAACAAGGCAAACTTTCTTAAGGTCATATTTCTATCTCACATGGATGTAGTCTTTCCTGACGTGCATTTGTACCCTAAAAATTGCATACTCGCCCCATTTTTAAAACCTCAATCTAATTCCTAGCCCTCCTCTGCCTGCCACTCACCTCTCAGATCATTCTTCCTCCCTAGCCTTCCCACCCCCAGACTACAGAAAAGAACTACTGGATTACTCTTTGAATCTTTGAACATCATGATAAGGGAAAGAATCTGGGTAGATAGTAGTTAACTAGATGTTAAAACTCTTTGAGGCTTGAGAACTACTATATTAAACCAAAATGTGTAATAAAAGGTGGTAATAGATGGCAAACCCCCCACTCCCATCTTGGCCCCCGCCAGCTTTGCCCTTTCCGGGGCTTACTGTCTTTCTTTGCCCTCCAGTCTGTGGGGCCATAGCCCTAGTACCTCGGGAAAGGAGCCTGGGCCCCAACAGACCAGAAGACCAGATAGAGCCAGAAGAGATCATGGAGGCCCATTTCATCTTTGAAGTATTTCCAAAATTTTCACTAATATCAGGAGTTTTTTGTTTTTGTTTTTATTTTGTTCGCTTGTTGTTTTTCTGTTTTGTTTGCTTAGGCTGTTCCTTCACATAGAAAGAGATGGGTACAAAGAAAGGCACATGGGGTAGGGTCAGGGCTGACACTAGAACACTGAACTAAACTAGATGTTTAGTTTCTCAGGTAATGTTGCTGCTCTTCTTTCCTCTCATTAACAGCCGCTGGAAAACCATCTAGAATTTCATTATGAGTGCATATAAGACATTTTGTATAACTGTATGGCCAAAAAAGTCATCTGGAATGTGTTGCTCCATTTTAAAAGGGTGTTAATAAAGGTGATATTGATATTTGCTGTATCCTATACCGAATGTTTAGTGTGTGCCAGATTGCGGACATTTTACCTGAGATGCCTCTACTGGCTTTTAAACTCCAGAATATAACCGTTCTCAGACCGTCAGAAGAGTCATGCTGAAGCACAGGGGTGCGTTGTAAAATGTAATAACGTGTTGGAGTCACTGAGTCCTTGGTGACTTCCTCCACTGGATTACAGACTCTGTCCTGTTCATTTTAATACACTTGCAATGTGCATCCTTGGTCGGTAGGTGGTGCCAGGAACCCATCCATGGTTTCATCAAGCCACCTAAATTCTGAGCACCAATGGCAAATCATTTATTGCGGTGTCCCTGGCTTTTTTTGTGGAAAGGAGTGTGTGAAGACCTTTAAGGAATATAGATTGATTATGATAACTAGGCGATCAAAGCAGGGAGAGAAGACAAAACAATCCAATATGCAATTGGTCAAGAAATGTGTCTGAGAGGTGGGACAGGATCTGGCCAGTCCTTGGCAAGCCTCTAGGTGGGGTTCTCATGGGGAAGGAAGGGCTCTGGACTATAAGACATAGGGCATGAGTGCACCGGCAGGAGCCATTCCAGCTGGAGGGGGAGCTGGAGGCTGAGGAGAAGGGCAGCTAGCCACATCCCAGGGTTTTCTCAGTGGAGCAAGATGTCTCCAATGGTTGGGGAAAAGCAGCTCTGAGGTCCTGCACTTCCTCAGCACCAGATCCTATTTCTCCCACATCATGCACTCCTGCCATTCTAGAATCTCCCACCAAAGACATTCAGAATCTGCCCTCCCCAGTTCCTTAGCTTAAGCATCAATGGTCTTTTCTTGGGATCCCTGGCACTCCTCCCAGCAGTATCTTCAGCTATGAAAGGCATGAAGTTGTCCAGAAGGTAACCAGAGAGTTCAATTAAGTGCAAGTAGAGGGCGCCTGCGTGGCTCAGAGTTTGAGCCTCCGTCTTGGGCTCAGGTCACGATCCGGGGGTCCTGGAATCTAGTCCCACATCGGGCTCCCTGCAGAGAGGCTGTTTCTCCCTCTGCCTATGTCTCTCTCTCTTTCTGTCTCTCATGAATAAATAAAATCTTTAAAAGAAAATACAAATAGAGGAGCGCCTGGGTGGCTCAGTCGGTTATGCATCGGCCTTCAGCTCAGGAGATGATCCCAGGACCCTGCGGTCCTATGTCGGACTCCCTGCTCAGCGGGAAGACTGCTACTTCCTCTCCCTCTGTGTGCTCTCAACCTCTTTCTCTCCCTCTTTCTCAAAATCTTTCTTAAAAAAAAAAATGAAAAAACCCACAAAATGCAAGTAGAGGAATTCCACATTGTTGTCAGCACGAGTGGGGAAAACCATATGCAAGAATTGAAGATCATATAATTCAAGCCCTATCAATGTATAGAAGAGGAAAGAGGCACATGGCAAATCACTGGCAGAAAAGGGGTCAAAACCCTGGAATTTGGTCTCAGTAGAACTTCTAAAGGAAGGGAATTGATGCTGGTTGTGTGATCTACTAAACTTCTGATCAAAAAGAACCTTCTGTAGTCCTGTTTTAGATTTTTAAAAACCACTTGCCCATATCATTCATGTTGATGACCAGTGAAGCAATATTATCCTGGTCAGTGAAAAGTATGCAAAATGGTGTCATAAATAATCCATTCATCCAACCACATACCTTAGCCAAGAAGAACCGCATGAAGAAGAAAAACCAAGCCATAAGAATTAAACTCTGACTCTAGCTCTCATCCTGATTTTTAGGCTCTTCCTGCTTCCTTCCATGTGACTCATTTTCACTATAACACTGATAAGAGCAGGAAGGCCTAGTAAAGATTTGTGAACATGTAATTTTTTTCAACTTGTCTCTATAAGGTAGGTCTAAAATGTAAACCCTCAGAGGCAAGAGAGGGTCTATTTCAGTTTTAGATATTTAATTGGTTTTGCTGCCAAATCAGTAAGTGATATCAACAAAGAAGATCCAGGAGGCTGACTGGGGCAGATATCTAGAACAATATAAGCCCCACTCTTCTGTGGTCCCCTCTCTGCTCAGTTCTTAGCTCTGTCTTCTATCTAGAAAATTCTTGGTGTCATGAATATGAGGAGTCCAGAGTCTCCAGAAGACAGCCTTCTGAGTCTGCAGACTCCTGCCATCCTGGGATGAACTGATTCACGTGATGAAAAGTATTATTCCAGAACATGACTGCAGAACTCCGTAAGGGATGGGACTTCACAAAGACCAGTGACACTTACATTTTTATATAAATTATCTTTTATTTCTGTAGCATACAAAAGGTATAAATATGATTTATATAAAACCAATCACCTGTATACTCAAGCAGAGAGTACATGAAGCTGGGGTATAGGTGTCTCAGAGCCAGACAGAGCAGGAGGAAGCAGGATTAGATCCAGTCGCCCCATCAGGCTCCCTGTCCCCAGACACTGTCATCTACTGCAGCTGGAGAGCAGTGAACAGCTTTCTGTTTTCGACCAGGGCGGGTCACACAGTACATCAGGACGGTGGTGCCAGAGGTCTGAAGGGCTTTAGGGCACTTCTATGAATGAGGCACTTGATGGGAAGCATGCCTGAGATGGAAACCAATCATGTCAAAACAAAGCAGGTAGGACTTGCCAGCAGGGGATGAGCAGAGTCTTTTCATCTCCCACATCTCTTTCCTTCGCATGGCTATTTGATTTGGAGCAAGGACCAACAGGAAGCAGAGCCAAAAAGGAATTCTACAGGAGGGAAATATAATGGAACAAGCACCTCTGATTCCTTGCCCCATACTGACAAAGAGTTTGGTGCATACAGGCTTCGGAGGTGACCGATGCTGAATGCAGAACTCACAAAGTTCCTGGATTCTCAAGATTCAGAGGCATTCTGAGACTGCGGAACGGTAGCAAGCAGAGTCCTATGACTTGTTAGGAAGTGCTAATTATCTGAAAGACTTGGCAAAACTCTTGTGATCTGTGAGGAAAAGTGACAGGAGCATGATCTGTACCAATAAGCCAGGCTTTAGGGAGCTGATAATATTTATGTTAAGAAGAAAGGCCCAAAGCTCTGCCTAACAAGGTCTGTGGAGCTCAGTCAGCTAGTGGATCTTCACCAAAGCTTCCCTGCCGCCTCTCTGGATAATGACAATGACAAGTGTTGATACAGGATGTCCTCTTACCTCTCACATGGTCTACAGGGTATGTGTGTCCTTCTATGCTAATGGCTCCGTAGTAAGATGGCTGTAGGAGGCACTCCTGGATTGGAAATGAAGGCCACTGTCATATTACTCTCAGGCTTCATTAGACTAAGTCACCTCTAGAGTTTATGCTTTCAGCCTCAACTGAAATTAAGACAATACGGTTCTCACAGCACTGATCACAAATTTGGTCACAGCAGTTTTGACTGCGATTGCTACCAGCCAACCGGCTCCAAGGGAAGAGAGGGAAGAGGGGCACGCTGACATCCATGCCTTCAAGCCCCACAAGGAAAGCAAGATAGCTCTCACAAATGCCACATTCCCTTTGATCAGGACCAGACGATACTAGATTTGTTTCCAAGTGAGCATTAAATTCTTCTCGTAGGCTGGTGAAGTGGCTGACACTGTCTCCCCACCTTGGGTACTTCCAGCAGGACACAGAATTAGGCTACCTGTGTGGACTCAAAATGATCACTGAGTTGGGGTTTTTCCCAGTTCTGAAGGTAAATGATGCTCTAGAAGCCATCATCACCAAAACAAAGTAAACACAACGTTTACTTTTCAAAAAAAATAAAAATAAAAATAAAAAATTTAAAAAGCCACACATGGACATAAAACTTACTTGAAAAAGAGTAAAATAAAATTTAAATATTTTATTTTATTTTATTTTTTTAATTAAAAAAATTTAAGGGGTACCTGGCCAGCTTGGCCAGTAGAACACATGACTTTTGATCTCAGAGTCGTGAGTTTAAGTTCCATGTTGGATGTAAAGCATACTTTTTTTTTTAAGATTGATTGATTGATTGATTGATTGATTGATTTATGTGAGAGAGAGAGAGAGAGGCAGAGACACAGTCAGAGGGAGAAGCAGGCTCCATGCAGGGAGCCTGATGTGGGATTCGATCCCGGGACTCCAGGATCAGGCCCTGGGCCGAAGGCGGCGCTAAACCGCTGAGCCACCCGGGCTGCCCATAAAGCATACTTTAAAAAAAATAATAAAAATACATTTTAAAAAATAAGGTAAAAGCTATGTGGATGGAACTGAGTACCTTTTTGGATCCAGTCCGTGGGACTGTTGCTTCCTAGAGTTGTCCATTTCCCACTCATATGACATCATGACCACAGGCCCATTCTGGAAGATGCCGAGAGGCCCATAGCGTAAAGAAATATATCTGGAGCAGGGGCCAGCAACCCAGTCCCCAGGCCAAATCTGGCCTGCTGCCTGTTTTTTGTAAAGAACGTTTCAGTGGGACACAGCCACACTCACTGGTTTATGAACTGGCCATGGCTGTGCTTGTAATACAACAAAGCTTAGCAGCTGTGAAGGACTCTCTGGCCATTTATGGAAAAAATGTGCAGACCTGAAGACTAAAGGCAATTTAGGGAACTGTCCCACTCTGGAAAGGTCTTCAAAAAAAAAAAAAAAAAAAGACCCAAGTATTTAATCATTAGACCTGATTCTAGCTGCATGTCTCCAAGCATAGGAAGTCTGGCTCTCAAGGTCTGAATCTGTGGGGCAACAGCCTCAGGAGTTACCAATGTGCTCTGGACAAGAACCCCTGTGCTGTCTGCATCACTTGCCATCAGGGAAATACAAATCAAAACCACAATGAGATACCACCTCACACCAGTGAGAATGGGGAAAATTAACAAGGCAGGAAACAACAAATGTTGGAGAGGATGCGGAGAAAAGGGAACCCTCTTACACTGTTGGTGGGAATGTGAACTGGTGCAGCCACTCTGGAAAACTGTGTGGAGGTTCCTCAAAGAGTTAAAAATAGACCTGCCCTACGACCCAGCAATTGCACTGTTGGGGATTTACCCCAAAGATTCAGATGCAATGAAACACTGGGACACCTGCACCCCGATGTTTCTAGCAGCCATGTCCACAATAGCCAAACTGTGGAAGAAGCCTCAGTGTCCATCGAAAGATGAATGGATAAAGAAGATGTGGTTTATATATACAATGGAATATTACTCAGCCATTAGAAACGACAAATACCCACCATTTGCTTCAACGTGGATGGAACTGGAGGGTATTATGCTGAGTGAAGTAAGTCAATCGGAGAAAGACAAACAGTGTATGTTCTCATTCATTTGGGGAATATGAATAATAGTGAAAGGGAATATAAGGGAAGGGAGAAGAAATGTGTGGGAAATATCAGAAAGGGACACAGAACATAAAGACTCCTAACTCTGGGAAATGAACTAGGGGTGGTGGAAGGGGAGGAGGGCGGGGGGTGGGGGTGAATGGGTGACGGGCACTGAGGGGGACACTTGACAGGATGAGCACTGGGTGTTATTCTGTATGTTGGTAAATTGAACAATAAAAATTAATTTATTTAAAAAAAAAAAAAGAACCCCTGTGCTGTGAATAGCCTCTCACCCATGTTAAGCTGTGATCATTGTCTGGGTCTGTAAAACCCAGAGAAGTTGAGTGTGTGTGTACATATGTGTGTGTGTACACATAGGCATATGTGTAAACACGCACATGTGTATAGACACATATACATACATTCAGGGATGACTCCCAAAGGGGCAGCCTATCGCTCTTCATGTCCTGGGGCAAAAGCAAAGGAGGCAATTATTGGCTTCTGAAAGCTCTGAGTGAGAAAGTTCGGCGCCGCTGTTTCCCTCATTCACAGGCTAGCTTGCTGTCAAAGCTAGAAAGGCCAATGGCAAAGGCCTGAAGTGCACACAGCGGGTAGTTGTAGTCCAGGGTGAACACATCGTCTGCCACACGTCCAAACTGCATGACTATGTAGTCAGCTAGAAACAGAAAGAAATTAGGACATTAGAAGATAATGGAGCTGTTCTGGGAAAAAGCCTACTTAGGATACACAGAAGACTCCAAATACATCAGTCAACCACCAGTTTCTTTAAAATGGGAAACCTTGAGAAGGATGGAAAGAGACATTGACAAGACTGCTAACAGTGAGCCAAGTTTCTATTTCTCTTCCTCTCAGAAAGCAGGAGGCTACTCCTGACTAGCATGAAATGGTCAGAGGAGGGAGCAGCACAAGCTCCAAGGGCTAGACATGCCGAGGAACCTTTACTGAGTGAGGGCCATTGTGTCTGCTTGCCAAACAGACTTTAAACAGACTTAAACTTTAAAACTGCCACTTTGGGATCCCTGGGTGGCGCAGCGGTTTGGCGCTTGCCTTTGGCCCAGGGTGCGATCCTGGAGACCTGGGATCGAGTCCCACGTCAGGCTCCCTGCATGGAGCCTGCTCCTCCCTCTGCCTGTGTCTCTGCCTCTCTCTCTCTCTCTCTCTCTCTCTCTCTGTGACTCTCATGAATAAATAAATAAAATCTTTAAAAAAAATAAAAAATAAAACTGCCACTTTGGGCAGCCCTGGTGGCACAGCGGTTTGGCGCCGCCTACAGCCCAGGGCGTGATCCTGGAGACGCTGGATTGAGTCCCACGTCAGGCTCTCTGTATGATGCCTGCTTCTCCCTCTGCCTGTGTCTCTCCCTCTCTCTCTATCTCTCTGTGTCTCTCATGAATGAATAAATAAAATCATAAAAAAAATTTAAAAAATTAAAATAAAATAAAACTGCCACTTTAGGGATGCCTGGGTGGCTCAGTCAGTTGAGCGTCCAACTCTTGGTTTCAGCTTGGGGTCATAATCTCAGGGTCATGAGATCGAGCCATTTATCAGGCTCCACACCCAGCGTGGAGCCTGCTTAGGATTCTCTTCCTCCCTCTCTCTCTTCCCCTTTCTGCCCCAAATAGATAAATAAGGCTTTAAAAGTAAAATACATAAATAAAACTGCACTTTAGCCTTTCCAAAGAAATAATTTCTTTCTTAAATAATTCTGCCGTGAACAGAACTTCTGTCAATGATAGGAAATGCTTGTTTCCCCACCATGTAAGAACATCTTTCCTCCTATTCCCACCCAGCCCTTCCTGCAGGCTTACGGTCATTGTCATGGACTATCTGAAAGTTCTTCACAGATGCCTGAGTGACCCGGCCATGGAAGTTCAGGACATAGGACTGTGTGTCATCATTCCAGACCGGGGCCTTGTTGTGCAGTTCAATCAAGTTCTCCATGGTTTTGTTTTGCCATTTGGAAAGCAAGCTCTCGTGGTCCTGTTTGAAGGAAAAATCGTTGTACTGAGAACCAGAGGAAATCATTCATTCTCAGCATTGTGATGTAGAAGGTAGAGTTGGGGAGTATTGTCTCCATTTCAGAAAGGGTACAACAGAAACAAAGAATGCTAAAAGTTAAGGCAGATTTTAAATTTCTGATAGATTATCTAGCATTTCTCTTTGCAGATTAAGTGGTTTCATGTCAATTTAGCAATTACTGTGCAATTGCACTTATCCTGATGTTCTGGAGTGATCACTCTCCTAGAGAAGGGTATGAGCTATACTCCAATTTGAGGTTCTGCAAGAATCAATACTTTTTGGTATTGATCTTGTCTGTATTGTATTCTTGTCTTTCAGATGCCTTTGCTGATTAAATATTTCTGTACTTACATTTCGTGCCTGAAATGGGATCCGTTCGTGATTCATATTCATCCCTGGAATGATCACAGACATTTTCCTAGGACCTTTAAATCCAAGTACATTTGTTTCCTGGAAGATAGGACAATAAGGCAGGGACTTGGAAACAGAAAGGAAAAAGAAGCCCACATTCTTAACACAAGACTTCCTTGGGCATGCAAAATGTCCAGTGATGATGTCAAAAAGACCAGAAATTATTTTATTACTTTACTGTAGGTAAATGAAGAGAGAAAGAAAAGCAAAAAAAGAAAAGTAATAGGCTGCTTGTAGCGGGCGTGATGGCTTCAAGGTTACTTCGTGGAGTTGGAGCGCTGGCCGCGCAGGCCCTCAGGGCTCGTGGTCCCAATGGAGTTGCTGCGGTGCGCTCAATGGCATCTGGAGGTGGTGTTCCTACTGATGACAAGCAGGCGACAGGGCTGGAGAGGGAGGTCATGATGGCTGAAAGGAAGGGGCTGGACCCATACAATATTCTAGCCCCAAAGGCAGCTGCAGGCACCAAAGAAGACCCTAATTTAGTCCCATCTATCACCAACAAGCGAATAGTGGGCTGCATCTGTGAAGAGGACAATAGTACCGTCATCTGGTTTTGGCTGCACAAAGGCAAGGCCCAGCAATGCCCTAGCTGTGGAACCCATTACAAGCTGGTGCCCCACCAATTGGCCCACTGAGCCTTTGCACTAATTTACTCAAAATGTGCTGTGAAGTTTCTTCTTTCCAATAAAGACTAGCCATTGCATTGGCTCCTTCTCCCATAAAAAAAAAAAAAGAAAAAAGAAAAAGAAAAGTAATACTGTACCTCCTTTTAAACCTAACGTGAACACTTGAATTTAGAACAGATTCTATTCTAGGCTTGAAACTTTATTCTTATTCTTTAGCGTTAAGTGAAATTTGAGACAATTGTGAGCAAACTGGCCAATGCTGTCATCATCAATAAATATTTATTTCTCAATGAGGACATGGCACTATATGATATACAGTGAGAATTATAGCTCAAATTACATAGGGCTTATAGCAGGAGGCAAAAAATTCAAATGCCCGTGTCAGCATAAGAAATATAGTCACCAGTATTGGGACAGATGGTAGCTACACTTCTGGTGAACATAGCATAATGTATAAATCCCTAAGTAGTATACTTGAAACTATGTGTGTCAACTATACAAACAGGAAACAATAATATTGTAAATATTTGAAAGTTGCTAAGAGTAGATCATGGAAGTTCTCATCGCAAGAAAAAAATTATAACCATCTGTGGTGATGGATGTTAACTAGACTTACTGTGATGATCATCTTGCAATATATACATATATAAAATCATTACATTGGGGCACCTGGGTGGCTCAGTCGGTTAAGTGTCTAACTCTTGGTTTCGGCTCAGGTCACATCATGGGTCCTGAGATCCAGCCTCACATTGGGCTCTGCAGTAAGGGCAGAGTCTACTTGGGGAATTCTCTCCCTCTACTGCTCCCACCACTCACATGTGCACACGCACTCTCTCTCAAATAAATAAATAAATCTTGGGGTGCCTAGGTGGCTCAGTTGGTTAAGCATCTGCTTATGGCTCAGGTCATGGTCTCGAGATCCTGGGATTGAGTCCACATTGGGCTCCCTGCTCAGAGAAAGTCTGCCTCTCCCTCTGCCCCTCGTCCCCTCTCATGCTCGCTCGCTCTCACTCTCTCAAATAAATAAATAAGATCTTTAAAAATAAGTAAACAGTTTTTAAAAACTAAAAAAAAAGTCATTACATTATACATCTAAAACTAATATGTCAATTATACCTCAATTAAAAAGAAAAAAAAATAGGCAGCCCGGGTGGCCCAGTAGTTTAGCGCCACGTTCAGCCCAGGGCCTGATCCTGGAGACCTGGGATCAAGTCCCATGTCAGGCTCCCTGCACGGAGCCTGCTTCTCCTTCTGCCCGTGTCTCTGCCGCTCTCTCTCTCTCTCTCTCTCTGTGTCTCTCATTAATAAATAAAATCTTAGAAAAAAGAAACATGGGATGCCTGAGTGGCTCAGTACTTCAGTGTCTGCCTTTGGCTCTGCTTCTGTCTCTATCTCTCATGAATAAATAAAATCTGAAAAAAAAAAAAAAAAGGAAACAAACCTTAAAAAAAACCTTAAACACCTGTCAGGCCAGGAAGACTATATATGAATAAAATAACACAGCAAATAGGTAAGAATATACGTTTGTGTTTGTATACCTATACATACATAGACATACATATGTACATACATATGAAAGTTATACATAATTGAAATATTTAATGGATTCTGAAGGTGGGAGAAAAAAAATACACTATGTTACAAAATACTAAGTCAAATGCTTCTCAGTCACATAGATAAAACCTCATGGGAAATGATGAGATTAATTTTTTTTAGATTAATTCTAAATTAAGCAAAAGTTAAGACTTTGCAATCAAAGCAACAGCTGAGTCAGGTTATTTGATTCTTGCTTTCTTTTACTCAACGCTTTGAGTGCCTACCTGCACTGGTCCCTCTGCTAGTGAGGATGTAGCAAAGAATAAGAGTTTGCAAATTGGTAGAGAAGGTTCATGTTGAACAAGCAGTAATAAGTATAATGTGTTAGTTACAAGAAAAAGCACAGGGTGCCATGGGATGTGTACATAAGGTAGACTCTATCAATGGTCAGGAAAGACTTCTCCAATGGCATCAATTGATTAGATAAAGGACAAGGAAAGGGAAAGGAAGGCTCTTGGATGAAGAAAGATCACATGGTGCAGCAAAGGAATGACAGGGGGCTGTCATGGCTAGAACAGGGGAACAGGAGGGGGCCAGGACCACTAGAGGAGTCTGGGAGGAAAGGCTAACACATTAGGGCTTTATTCTGGATGCAATGGGTAGTCGTTAGAAGATTTGAAACAGGAAAACTACAGGATCTACTGAAGCTCTGTTTTAGGAAAACGAAAGAGCAGGTAAGACAAGAAATGCGGAATCAGAGAAGGAGACAAACCGTAAGAGACTCTGAACTCTAGGAAGTAAACTAAGGATTGCTGGAGGCGAAGGGGTTGGGGGATGGGGTAGCTGGGTGATGGGCATAAAGGAGGACGTGGTGGTGAAATGGGTGTTGTATGCAACTGATGAATAATAGAACTCTACCACTGAAACTAATGATACACTATATGTTAATTGAATTTGAATATAAGAAAAATTTTTAAAGAAAAAAATAAAAAATAACCAAACTTGGCAATTCATAAATAATTAAAACTTGAATATACAGAGAAAAATGCAACCAGCAACAGAAGAGGAGGATTATAGAAATAGAAACAAGCTTGGGAAGGAAGATCATGAGCTCAGTGTTGGGTAAGTTTCAAGTGTCAGCAGGACACCCAGGAGATTAGGGAAAAGACTCAGAAAAAGAGTGCTTTACGAGAATGGCACATACGTAACAGATGGCTGCCAACTCCTGCCGGACATAGGCCTTTTCTACCAGGCCTTGGGCCTTGGTTGGGCTGACACCATGGTCATAAACTGTAAACTTGGTCCCCATGAGGTTGGATCTAGAATCGAGAGGACAAAGTTGCCATTAATGATCTATATTTTTTCTCCTACACAAATATAAATCTAGGACAGGTATGGAACAGAATGGAAGCCCTTTTGCCATTTTCCAAATATTCATCACCACTGTTTCAAAGATCTCTCATTAACATAAGGAAGGGACTTAGATGCTCTGTGAACTTTTTTTTTTTTTAAGATTACAACATCATACATGCTCAGAGTAAAAAAAGATACAGATTGCTCTGAAACTACAGGAATAAAAGTATCAGAAAGAATAGGTCAGTGATACAAGGCTGCTCTCACCTGAGCTTGCCAATATAACTTTCCCCTTCACGAGATAAATCTGTTGGATCAGTGGAAATAAGGTAGTTAGATGTTTTGCTCTTTTTCCGCTTTCTACCTGCAAGAAGAAATATCTGGAAAAAAGAAAAAATGCCAGTCAAAAATGTCAAGAGAACCACCACAGTCTGTCCTATTTACTTGGCAAATGTTTAGCAAGTGCCTATCATGTACCAAGCAGTCAATCTTTTGGTCTTTTGTTTTTTAACAGGCTTAATTCACCTTAATTTTTCTTGTATAAAAACTTCATGATGGCAACAGCATCTGGTGTGGGTCATTACAAGATGGTCAGTGAATGCCTGATAGGGGGCCTTGGTGAAAAGAGTCTCTTCCCAGAGTTGAGATGAGACAGCTGTGGGTCTTGGAGATGGCATCAAAAGTGGCCTTGGCGAAGTTGCCCAGGGTGGCTCTGCAGCCCCTGGCCCACGTGTAGCAGCCCATATGATACCAGTGCCCCTGGGGATGGGGATGTGGTGCACCAGCACAGAGCTGCAGTGTCCAGTCACCTCACAAGTGATGGTGTGGAGCTTTCCAGTCTTGTTCTCCCAGAGACCTTGCTGCACTGGGACTAGAGATCTTGGCCAGAATGATGGTCTTACAGAAGTCAGTGGCTACCTCGTTGGAGCATTAACACCCAGACGCATGTGTCTGTTGTAATTCCCAATGGCAACAAATGCCTTGAACCCAATCTGCCTGCCAGCATGGGTCTGCTTTTGCACAGGTATGATCTTCAAAACCTCATCCTGGAAGAAAGATCCCAGGAATACCTCAAAGATCACAGATTCCCTGATGGGCAGACGGAAAAGATAGATCTCCTCTGGGGACCTGAACTTTATGTCCTTGACAAGACAACCCAAATTGGAGAGAGGCACCCACTCCTCCTGTCACACTTGTGTATCCTTCCCATACCCTACTGGACTTGGACAACAGGGAAGCAGGAGAATGGCAATAACTAAGAAAGGGACTGTGGAATCAAACAGATAGGGGTTTGACTCGGGCTCTGCCACTTAGCATGATTTGGGGCAGGTACGTCACTCCTCAAGCCCCAGCTACTCATCTCTAAAGCAGAGATAACAAATCCTATCTTACAAGGTTGTGATTAGGATTGTAGAAGATTATATAGACACAAAGCACTAAGCACATGCCCAGTGCATCATAAACACTTAATAAATTAGAGGTTATAATAACGATATCAATCATCATCTCATTTCTATGCTCTTAAAATCACCAGCTTAGACTTGGTAGCATAACAAAATACATTGTTCATTACCAAGTATTAAATTGCCTCAAATTTGGTTGAAAGTACATTAGAATTTCTAGAGTGAGAAATAAGACATTTAACTTGCATATCCTTCTATAATTCCAATTCCTTCTATTCCCTAAAACTTGCTCTTTCTTCCAGCGTCATGTTCTACCGTAATTAAAATAAAAACCAGAGAGCCCACAGTAACACCCTCCCTCCACCAAAAAATAGGATAGAGGTGCAAATGATTACATTAAAATATTATATTCCATTTTCTTATATTCTTTTTATTTGGAGTAGAGTAGATTTTACCTGAGACTATGAGCTCTTTGAAGATAGAACACAGGGATCCCTGGGTGGCGCAGCGGTTTGGCGCCTGCCTTTGGCCCAGGGCGCGATCCTGGAGACCCGGGATCGAATCCCACATCAGGCTCCCGGTGCATGGAGCCTGCTTCTCCCTCTGCCTGTGTCTCTGCCTCTCTCTCTCTCTCTGTGTGACTATCGTAAATAAATTGAAGATAGAACACAGCAACTGGGAATTAATGAATACAGTCTGCTTCCAGCCAACTTGTTCCGATGCCAGTGTATTCTCCTATCCTAAGACCTTTCAACAATCTATTCCCACAATATTCTTCCCCTCTATCTCAAGATCTGTCTCTTAAAAGAATCAATTCTCGGGACATCTGGGTGGCTCAGCAGTTGAGTGTCTGCTCAGGGTGTGATCCTGGAGTTCTGGGATCGAGTCCCACATCGGGCTCCTTGCATGGAGCCTGCTTCTCCCTCTGCCTGTGTGTGTCTCTGCCTCTCTCTCTGTGTCTCTCACGAGTAAATAAATAAAATCTCTAAAAAAAAAAGAACCAAAAAAAAAAAAAAAAAAGAACCAATTCTCATACCTTCCGATTTTCATCCTTTTCCAAGTGCATATAGTAAGTGGGGAAGAGACCCCTGTCCATTCCTTTTTTATCCCTGGTTATCCGACACTTTACTGTAATACCCCGAGGGGCAGGACTATATGCAAAGTCCTCTAAATTCTCCACTTCTCCCAGCTGGTTATCAGTTTGTTGGGATGCAGAACCAGAAGCTCCTGTATCCTGAAAGAACAGTCATACATGAGCAATAGGAGGTTGGATCAGAAAACGTACTCTCCTCAAGAAACAATTAATGGACAAAATAATTTAGTGATTTACTCCTAGTCTCTAGTCTCCTGACAAAACAAGGGGAAACTCTGAGAAGTTAAATAAGTATATGAATATTGGAAATAGTGAAGGAGCTAAGTACAAAAGTGGGATATAACTCCACTAATAGCTGGCTTGAGATGAAGGAAATTAGGGAGGTCATGAACCTCAAGACTAAATTTGACCTTAAATCTTTTGAAGGAACCTTCATTCAGTAATCATGTTTAAATACTAGACATACATTTGGGAAATAGTTAAATTAGTTCCAAAGGAAGAAGTTTCAGAACTACATACTGTGGTTGATTTCTGGCTAGAAGCAGAATTGGGTCTCTCTGCCACTGAATATGGTGAATGACATAATTTTTTTCCTTCTTCCTCCCCATCGGTCTCCTCTTCATCAAAGTTCAAACTACCTGAGATACCTGGCAGAAAGGAAGAACTGTCAAAAACTGCCAACATTGGTTTAAAAAATAAATCATCGATCCAAATATAATTTTAATTTTCTTGCTTAACACATTCCATCTATTCTGACTTAAAACATAGCTATAGCTACTTCATCCAAATTTTGACAATTCTTTCTTCATATTCTCACTCAGATCTATCCCTTGTTTTCCCTTTCCATAAAGAATTAATATCCAGAATAGAAAAAGCACTTCGGCAACACACATGCACCAACAACAAAACAAACAACCCAATTGAGAAGTGGGTAAAGGACATGAATAGACATTTCTTCAAAGAAGACATATAAATGGCCAATAAGCACACGAAAAGATGCTCAAAAGCACTCGTCATTAGGGAAATGCAAACGCAAATAAAAAATAGAAAATAAGTACTGGCAAAGATGCAGAGAAATTGGAACTCTTGTGCAATGTAAAATAGGGCAATCACTGTGGAAAACAGTATAGTGGTTCCCAAAATATTTAAAGATAGAATTACACATGTGGTAATTCTATTTCTGGGTATGTAACAAGAGAATTAAAAGCACAGACTCAAACAGATACTTATATACCAATGTTCACAGCAACATTATTCACAATATCCAAAAGGTGGAAACAACCCATGTATCTATCAACTGATGAACAGATAACACATGGTAGCCTGTGTCAGAATTCCATTCCTTTTTATTTCTTTTTCTTTTTTTTTTCCATTCCTTTTTAATATACAGTTCTGGAAATGGATCGTGGCAATAGTTGCATAACAATGTGAATGTACTTAATGTCACTGAACTGTACACTTAAAAAATAAGTTTTATGTTATGTATATTTTACCACAATTTTAAAAATTCAATGATCTATTGTTCTCTACATCAGTTACTTTTTTTTTTCCAGCATTTTGTTCATCTCTAGTCTAACTAATTAGAGTTGGGAATGTTTGAAATGCTATTACCTTGGATTTATGAAGTACTTTTTATAAAAAAAAATTAAAAACTATTTGATTGGGCACCTGGGTGGCTCAGTGCTTGAGCATCTGCCTTTGGCTCAGGTCATGATCCTGGCGGGATCAAGTCCCACATCAGGCTCCCCACGGGGGGAAAAACCCTATTTCATTAAAAAACTATTTTCTCATTTTATCCTCACATTTTTAAAAAAGATTTTATTTACTTATTCATGAGAGACACACAGAGAGAGGCAGAGACAAAGGCAGAGAGAGAAGCAGGCTCCATGCAGGGAGCCCGATGTGGGACTCAGGCTATCTTATTTATCCATTCATCAATCAATGGACACTTGAGCTGCTTCCATATCTTGGCTATCATAGATAATGCTGTTTTAAACATAGGGGTGCATGCATCCCTTTGAACTAGTATTTCTATATTCTTTGGGTAAATAGTAGTGTGATTGCTGTATCATAGGGTAGTTCTTGTTTTAACTTTTTGAGGAACCTCTACACTGTTTGCTCTTTCTTATTGATACGATGTATTATGTGGATTGATTTGCAAATATTGAACTGCCCTTGCAACCCACTTGAGTACGGTGAATTATTTTTTTAATGTATTGTTGGATGATTCAATTTGCAAGTATTTTGTTGGGGATCTTTGCATCTATGTTCATCATCAGAGATATTGGCCTAGAGAACCTATTGGTTCTCTTTTTTTGTGGTATCTTTATCTGGTTTTGGTATCAGGGTAATGCTGTCTCACAGAATGAAACTGGAAGTTTTCCTTCCTCTTCTATTTTTTGGGATAGTTTGAGAAAAATAGGTATTAATTCTTTAAATGTTTGGTAGAGGTCACCTGTGAAGCTATCTGGTCCTGGACTTTTGTTTGTTGGGAGTTTTTGATTACTGATTCTGATAACTGATTTTTGGGGTTATTTTCTGGTAATTGGTCTGCTCAAATTTTCTATTTCTTCCTGTTTCCATTTTAGTAGGTTATATTTCCTGGAAATTTATCCATTTCTTCCAGGTTGTCCAATTTGGTTGGCATATAATTTTTCATAATATCCTCTTACAACTGTATTTCTGTGCTGTTGGTTATTTCTCCTCTCTCATTTGTAATTTTATTTGAACCACTTTTCTTTTTTTCTTGATAAGTCTGGCTAAAGGTTTATCAACTTTACTGATTTTTTTCAAAGAATCAGCTCCTAGTTTCATAGATCTGTTCTACGTTTTTTTTTTTTCTCCTTTAATCTTTATTATTTCCTTCCTTCTGCTGGTTTTAGGGATTTTTGTTGTTGTTTTTCTAGCTCCTTTAGGTATAAGGTTAGGTAGCGTATTTGAGGTTTTTCTTGCTTCTTAAAGTAGGCCTGTATTGCCAGAAACTTCCCACTTAGATTTGTTTTTGCTGCATCCCAAAAGCTTTTGAACCACTGTGTTTTCATTTTCATTTGTTTCCATGTACTTTTTAATTTCTTCGTTCATTTCCTGGTTGACCCCTCCATTGTTTAGTACCATGTTATTTAACTTTCAGGTATTTGTGGTCTTTCCAGAGATTTTCTTTTTCTTGTAGTTGACTTGTAGTTTCATAGTGCTATAGTCAGAAAAGATGCATGGTAGGACTTTGATCCTTTTGAATTTGTTAAGGCTTGTTTTGTGGTGTAATATGTGATGTATTCTGGAAAATGTTCCATGTGCATTTGAAAAGAATGTGCATTCTGCTGTTTTAGGATGGGATGTTCTGAATATATCTGTGAAATCCATCTGGTCCACTTTGTCATTCAAAGCCACTTTCCTTCTTGATTTTGTGTTTGGATGATCTCTCCATTGATGTAAGGAGTGTTAAAGTCCCCTATTATTATTGTATTATTTTCAATTAGTTCTTTTATGTTTGTTATTAACTGGTTTTTTTTAAGATTTTATTTATTTATTCATGAGAGGCACAGAGAGAGAGGCAGAGACATAGGCAGAGGGAGAAGCAGACTCCCTGTGGGGAGCCTGATGTGGGACTTGATACCAGGACTCCAGATCACTACCTGAGTCCAAGGCAGACACTCAACCACTGAGCCACCCAGGTGCCCTTGTTTTAACTGTTTTGTGTATTTGGGTGCTAACATGTTGGGTGCATTAATATTTACAGTCATTATATCTTCTTGTTGGATTGTCTCCTTTACGATTATATAGTGTCCTTCTTTATCTCTTGTTACAGTCTTTGTTTTAAAGTCTAATTTGTCTGATATAAGTGTTGCTACTCTGGCTTTTTTTTGACATCCACTTGCATGATAAATTTTCTCCATTCCCTCACTTTCTTTTTTTTTTAATTTTTTTTTATTTATTTATGATAGGCACACAGTGAGAGAGAGAGAGGCAGAGACACAGGCAGAGGGAGAAACAGGCTCCATGCACCGGGAGCCCGATGTGGGACTCGATCCCGGGTCCCCAGGATCGCGCCCTGGGCCAAAGGCAGGCGCCAAACCGCTGCGCCACCCAGGGATCCCCATTCCCTCACTTTCAATCTGTAGGTGTCTTCTGGTCTAAAATGAGTCTGTTGTAAGCATATGGGTGGGTCTCATGTTGTTTCTTTATCCATTCCGTCACCCTAGGTCTTTGGTTTGGATTGTAAATTTTGTAAAATTGTAAATTTTGTCCATTTACATTCAGACTAATTATTGATAGATATGTATTTATGCTATTATATTACTTGTTTGGTGGTTGTTTCTGAAGATTTTTCTTTGATTCTTTCTTGTCTTTGTTTCATGGTTTGTTGGTTTTCTTTAGTGATATATTCGGATTTCTTTCTCTTTATTCTTTGCATATTTATTAGTCGTTTTTGACTTGTGGTTCCCATTAGGTTTGCATATAACATCTGCATATAGTGATCTGTATTAAGTTTATGGTCATTTAAGTTTGAAACCATTCTTTATTCCTCTCCTCCCTACATTTAGGTATATGGTATCATATTTTATATCCTTTTATTTTGTGAGTTCCTTGATTTATTTTTTACAGAAATATTCATTTTTACTGCTTTTGTGTTTCCTATCTTCACACTGTCATTTTTGGTCTTTCCTTTCTATTCAAGACCCTCCTTTAATGTTTCTTGCAAGTCTGGTTTAATGGTCACAACTCCTTTAGTTTTTGTTTGTCTGGAAACCCTTTATCTCTCCTTCTATTCTGAAAGACAGTCTTGCTAAACAGAGTATTCTTGGCTACAGGTTTTTCCCATTCAGCATTTTGAATATATCATGCCACTCCTTTCAGGCTTAGAAAGTTTCTGCTGAAAAATCTGCTAAACATTCTTATGGGGTTTCCTTTGTATTGTCTTCTTTTGACTTGCTGCTTTGTTTATTTATTTGTTTGTTTATTTATGTGAGTGTATAGGGGGAGGGGCAGAGGGAGAGAGAGTCTCAAGAGGACTCTCTGCACTGAGTGTAGAGCTTGACATGGGGCTTGATCTCATGACTCCAAGATCATGACCTGAGCCAAAATCAAGAGCTGGCCACTCAACTGACTGCACAGCCCAGGTGCCCCTGCCTTGCTGCTTTTAATATTTCTTCTTAACCACTATATTTTGACATTTTAATTACAATATGTCTCGGTGTGGATTTGTTCTGTGCCTCCTCAATACAGATATTTGTTTTTTTTTCTCAGATTTGTTTTTTTTCTCAATACAGATATTTGTTTTTTTTTTTTTCTCAGATTTGTTTTTTTCCTTAGGAACTTTTCAGCAATTATTTCCTCAAATAAATTCTCTTGCCCCTTTTCTCTCTCTCTTTTTGTGACTGCTATAATACAAATGTTATTGTGTTTGATGGAGTCACTGAGTTGCCAAAGTCTATTCTAGTGTTCCAAAATTCTTTTTCTCTCTTTTGTTCAGCTTGATTATTTTCCATTACTCTGTCTCTGAGGTCGTTAATTTGTTCCTCTGCTTCTTCTAGCCTGCTGTTCATTCCATCAAGCATATTTCTCATTTTGTCTATTGAGCCCTTTTTGTCTGCTGTTATTCCTTATCTCTGTATTAATGGTCTCACTGATGTCCTCCACTCTTTTCTCA